AAAGCTTTTTTAGTTGTTCAGAAATCACACCACATTTACCTCCTTATTGTCAATCTACTTTTTTTACGTCTCACGAGAGTTGTGAATAAATCCACAAAAAACATGCAAGTTTTCTCTCTTTTACTCCAATAGAAATATGCTTTTTTTTCCCCCAGCCCTACCTTTACCCATTTTTTTGATCTCCGGGCACTTAAAAAGACAGAGTCAAAAGACCTAATGAGCTTTAAGATTCATGGTTTCTTTTCAGCGGTGTTGATAACACATACAGTAGATACTATCATGCTTCATATCAGCTTAAAGGTTAAGTGCAGCCACAGCCTTGTAGTTGTGTAATCTGGAAAGGTTAAAAAACTCTCCTTTAGAGTATGTGGATCTTCAGTAATGCCTACTATCACATTAACCCTGCTGACACAAAACTGCTTTATATGTGTGATTGATTTAATCGTGTCATACGTATCCTGTCCGGCCGCAACAAGACAAACAAATGGGATCAGTGCTCTACCTAAACAGAAAGACTCGGTGCTGTTCCACGCAGCTCAGAACAATTTTATCGTCATCATCATCTCGTTGGTTGATAATGCTCTTTGTTCGTTCAAGTCCGTTTGCTGATTAAGTGAACCCGTCGTTCAGCTGGTCGTCGTCCAATGCCTCGCCCTATATCCTTCAGCTTCATGATACCCTAACAGACTCGGACCAAAGCTCACAATCCTATTACAACTACCGTCCTCCCAGCCCCAATCAAGGTTTAATTAAAGTCGTCGGTCCAGGGAAAAGGAGTCCTTGAGAGGACGAGTGAGTCAGCAGTCGTGACTCAGGCATTAAGCTTTATTTTGTAGGGTGTTTCAGTTTGATTACAATCAATGATTCATCGCTTTTACATGGAAAATAAACTTGAACCCAGTTGCAGAGAAAATACCTGCAAAACTGGACTCAATAATGTGTGACTTGCTGAAAGGGAAGCAGTTCCAAGAGACCACTGCAACACAACGCTGCCATCCTTTGTGGCGCAGTCATGCCTGGCAAAGGGGTACATAATGTTTCACATCCAGAAGGAGGTATTGACTGTAAGAAGAGATGACTGGATGTGAGCTTAGACCCGTAATGCAATTTCAGAAAAGGCCAACGAGGCCATCTGAAGAGTCAAGGATACCTTTTAACTTGCAAGGAGCAGGATATTAGTTAGTTTTCTGTACATCAAACATTCAGTTTAACTGGGAGGATATTCAGTTTGCAACCTAAACTACAAAAAGCAGTAAATAAAAGTAAATTCAATTTAAGCAAATTTTCAACATCTCGTAAAATCAAAATGAATGTTATGCAATGTTTTATTTTTATTTTTATTCTTCTTTACCCCTCCCAGCTTCAGGGAGAGGAAACAGTTGGCGTTCCAACTAATCCAACCCCAAATCAGCAGAGAGAGAGCGAGGGACAAAAACGCATTAAAAAAATTAGGGAATGTCTGTTTCAATTACGATAACATTTGGATCATTACATCATAATCCGTATTGTAACAGATGAATAAAAAGAAATCTGAGCTAATGCTCTCTCTCTCTCTCTCTCTCTCTCTCTCTCTCTCTCTCTCTCTCTCTCTC